GTGTGTGTGTGTGTGTGTGTGTGTGTGTGTGTATGTGTGTGTGTGTGTGTGTTTGATTGGGTGGAGGTGGGGGGTGCAACCCATCCCCCACCAATCAATCAATCAATCAATAAAAATAAAAGTAAAACAAAAAACGAAAAAAACCGCTTTCAAACCCCGCGCAAGCCTGCTCGCCGCGGATAAATGTCACTTGCTCCCCGCGGACATGTTCAATGTCGCGGAGGACCTCCGCCGACGCCATTGTTGCCATCTCGTCATGTGGAGGATCTTTGCTGGACTCTTCGTTTGCAGAGCTGCATCACCATGTCGCGTGAGGACGACGACATGTCGCTCATCGTGTTGACAACGACGGCAGCCACCGTCATCGCCACCGTGTCGATCTCTTCTTCGCGTAGACCATGCCCGCAGCCACGAACGTCCATCTCTGACAATTGCTCCACCTCTACAGTGTTACGCCTGCCACAGGCCCGCCGAAGACACGCCCGCTGCTCAACCCTGCCGCAGGAGACCACTCACGCTGGAGCCGAAGATGCGCCCGCTGCTGTACGCTGCCACAGGAGATGACGCATGCCGGAGCCGAAGACGCGCCCGCTGCTCTACGCTTCCACAGGACAGTACGCACGCGGAGGTGAAGATGCGCCTTGCAGGAAGATGTGCCCGCTGCTCACAACTTGCGTAGACTCAAAAGATGGATACCCGCACCGAACGGTTCGCCAGCGCCGTCTTTTCTACGTCACAGACGTCGCCTGGCCGTCCTCCGCCCCCCCCACCCTGCGTCCGCGAAAATTCGAATTTGAATTTTCGAAGTTCTGGGTGACCGTGGTTTTCACCGACCCGTCCTCACCCGCCGAAGGGCCACCGCAGTGTGTACCACGGACACCAGCCAGGAATGGACGGACATCGACGACGCGGCTGCGTATACGCATATGAAAAACGGTCGTGGGAGACCTTTTAGGATGAATCCTAAAAGATGATTTTTAGGATTGCATGTAACGAGGCGGCACGAAATCCTAAAAAACATTTAGGACTCGTCCTAAAAATTTTAGGATTCTTTTAGGAGTGTCTAACGAGACCCTTAGCCAAAAGGCCGAGAAGGTGCATATAAAAACCCTGTTCAATCGTCGGCGCTGCGCTAATTTAGCGCTAACTTTGTCGACGGTGGCGGTAGGGCCGCGGGAGGTACGGACCGGTACGCACCGATGCGTCAGGTGAGGGACGAAGGGTTTCGTGCTCGGCATTTTCTAGACACTTTGTACGCTGGCTGGACTCTGGACTAGTTCCAGAGGGGAACGAAGGGGTTTACTATGCCAACGTGCAGGGAGGAAGACGCGGAGGTTTCCCCTGGGCAATACACCACAGGCGATGAAGACTCCCAACGGACGCAAGGACGACATACGTATATCTGGGGGAACGTGGGCCGATGCGGACCGGGGAGAATGATAGTGCGGATACGACCTGGCCCCCTCGTGGACTGGTGTTAGCTCAGCATTGGTAGCAAGGCGGGAGAAGCCTGCCGAGTAGCCATAGCTATATGACGGAGCGGTGGGGGTCGGGAGGGGGTACCGGATCAAGACCCGAAGAAAGCCAGGAAGACAAGGTTGATCACCTTATAGATCAACTTATGCAGAGCTGAAAGTATGGTAATCCCGTTCCCGAAGTCAGCTGACTCTCCCCTTCCCAGTGAAGTGTGTGGATAATTTATCTGTTGAGTATTAATATACTGCCCATGCTACGTTTTAGTAGGATATTGTTGCGGAGATTTTTATTTGGGTATTGATAATGGCTTCCTTCGTAGCCGGTCCGTCGTCTCTATCTCAGGAAGATAAACAAAGGATTAAGGCGACTCTGGAGGAGTGTTATTCCAAAGGCATCCTACCGGAGGAGTTCGCCCCACAAGTAGTAGAGACGGGATCGGACTTTGTTCGTGTGGCGATGTGTTCCAAATCCAAGCAGACTGGCTCCGTCAACATGCGGTCTCAATACACTTTGGCGATGACACGACTTCCTTGCCTGTGAAGGTTAAAAACCGCCTGGTACGTATTTACGAGGAGGGGTAGGCGAGATCCGGAGCCTTAAATGTGCCTCCTAAGAGGGGGATATTTCGGCACGAAGGTCGTAATTTAGTGACCTACGTGGCCAGCGCAGCCAACATAGCCACGTGGATGCTGCGGAAAGGACAGGACATTATTGAACTGGATAGGAAGAAATACACGTTATCCTTTCAACCGTGGATGGACGAGAATCAGTTGTACGAGTGGAATGAGGCTATGAGCTACAAGTACTTTTAGATCAGAGTCCTGCATGTCCCGGTTTCTGTCTTACCCCACCTTAAGGGTGCGGTGACGAAGGCCTTTGGCTCAGTGTTAAGCTCTACGGCGGCCTTCGCGGACCCGGTGGCACCGGACCTCTGGACAATCCGCTTTGACATGGCACTTGCGGCCCGGTTAAAGTACAAAAGACACCTGGTAGTAGATATGGGTGAATACGGATTTGTGCAATTGGAAGTCGCCAGCACAGACTCGCCCTGGTGTAGTCAGTGCAGACGATTCTTCCATTCTGACTCAGACCCTTCATGCCCACGAAATGCCAAGTACAAAGAGGCGGTTACAAAAGGCACGAAGGGCAAGGAGGTAAAGGAGAAAGATGGGGGTGAGAAGACAGAGGTGGATAAGGAAAGGAAGGAGAAGGGAACAGAGGAAAAGGAGGGGGAAGACAAGCAAGAGAAGGATCCGGGCACAAGAGAGAAGGAGGTGGTGGTGGTGGTAGAGAAGGAGAAAGGGGGGGGAGAGAAGGAGAGGGGGAAAAAACACTCCAAACCTCCAGAAAAGCAGAAGAGAAAAAAGAAAAAGACCTCTCGTCAGCAGAGAGCAGGTCTGGAGTTGAGACGTCAGAAACGTAAAGAGATAAATAAGGGCAAGGCCCATCATGGAAGTCCCAGTACGGAAGGGGGGGGGTCCAAGTCATTGTCCCAGCCCCCGGAGAAACTCCCCATGAAGGAAGCGTGGATTAAAAAGGTGGACGCCTCGAAAGAGGCGAATAGGGAAATGACAAAAAAAGAGGGGGAAGGGGGAGAGAAAGAAGAAAACGGGGACACCCGAATGACGGATGGGGAAGAGGAGCGGAGCCTGGTGGACTTGGTGAAGGAGGCAAATATAGATAAGGAAGAGGAGGTACAGGTTCAACAGAGTGAAGAGCTACACCCAACGAAAGGGAAGGAGCAACAAGGGGAAGATACAGAGGAAGAAGAAGGCTCGGAGGCCGCCAATCAGAAGCTCCCCATGAAGGACGAGTGGATTGAAAAGGTGGACGCTTCGGAAGAGGCAATCAGGGAAGTGACAGAAAAAGAGGGAGAAGGGGGAGAGAAAGAAGATTATGGGGACAACCGAATGATGGAAGGGGAAGAGGAGCGGAGCCTGGTGGACTTGGGGAAGGAGGCAAACATAGATATGGTAGAGGTGGGACAGTTTCAACAGAGTGAAGAGCTACACCCAACGAAAGGGAAGGATCAACAAGGGGAAGTTACAGAGGAAGAAGAAGGCTCGGTGGCCGCCATTCAGGATATTGTTCCTGGGTGGGACAACTGGAACTTCGATCAGGGTCAGGGCAAAAAGCCCCAGACCGAAAATCCCTTTGCAGATCAGAAGAAAAAGGCACAGAGCACGACTCAGATTCCCCCGGAGTTAGGGAAAATATCGCTATTGGATGATGAAGTCTCAAACAAGGAATTGGCACTTAAATTAGTGTTCAATGCCTTGGATTCCGCTAGCAAGTCAAGCTCGAAGCAGTCCAAGAAAAAGGCAGGTCGCAAGTTACAAGACCTGTCTCAAGAGGGGAATCTTGGCTTCAACCCCCCTCCCTCTAATGCGATTCCAGCCAAAAAAATGAGGCTGGCAGATGAATCTTCTCTACATAGGGAGCATTTCAGAGTAGATCCGGTGCAGAGTACGGAGGGGATTGTGGTTGTTGCCGGTCAACCAGACAATCGTAAGAGAACTTTGGTAGGAGGGAAGTTGGATCTGTCATTCTCAGCGCCTATGAAAACTTTATCTAGGAAGGACAGACTCAAGAAGAAGGTGAAGGAAGGAAGCCCTTTTTTTTTAAAAAACATGTACGCCGCCAGGAGAGCTGCGCTATGCTAGCGCTCTGATGCCGCCAGGCCGGCAAGGCTCGGTCCGCCGGCTAGACTAGCGCCGGGGGGGGGTGTCCTTCGGCTGTTAGGCCTGCACGTGCGCCCAGCAGACATGGGTGGTGGCCTTGCTGCCACGTGGCGACTGCTGTTGGAACTGGGTGTTCCACGACGCACTGGCAGGGGTGACGCCAGCTGTGGAATTGACGATAGTTAGAGATAGTGGTGCAGCTTCTCATCTCTTCAATGGCGAGGTTGGGTGAGTTGGAAGCCAATGACTGGCTTGCCATCGTCCAAGTGAGCAGAGAACGGGTGTGCTGCGAAGTGGCGAAGTTGAAAGCGATGGTTGCAGAAAAGACATTGCCAACAATTCCGTGGATCCGGAGTGTGAGGGAGAAGTTATTGGAGACTGTGTGGGGGTTGGAGGAGGGGCCGCCCCCTCATCTTCGTGCGCTCATAGATGGACCACGACTGGGCAGCGTCATGCGGAACTACTACGAAGATCTTGAGGAGTGGCAAGTACTTTGTGCAGAGCTGGAGGAAYGCTGCTATGAGGATGACATCATCTCCGTTGCTGACGACGCCGTCGACATCGATAGTAGGGATAATGGTGATCGCACTGCCGCTCGTTTCAACAACAGTACTGACAGCAAAGATATTGGCGAGCTCACCTGCGAAGCTGTCAGTCACAACAACTACAACAACAACAACGACAACAACAACAACAGCAACAACGAAAATAACAACAACAACAACGACAACAACAACAATGACAAAAACAGCGATTATCGTGGTATTGGTGATGTAGCTTCCGTTGGCGCCGCTGACAACAAACAGAGTAGCGCGAGCAATATCGGTGCTGACGGCAACGACAATCCCATCAGCGGTGACGATCGCAGCAACAACAACAACACTGACAAGCGCTATAACGCCAGCGAAGAAGGTGAGTCTGGGGCATGTTCCCGAGACAGCCAGGGTCTTAGCAACGCGGGTGCTAATATCAAGGTGGGGGGGGGGTATGACCTTTGCTGGATTCGGGAAAGGCGAGCTCGTTGGGGGTGGGGGAGGGGTCGTCTTGGCCTTGGACCTCGTCGTCTTCGCGGAATAGCATACCGCTGCTTTTATGGGATCCGGGTGGGATCAGGGGGGAGGGGTGAAGGACCGGGTTGAGGCTGTACGGAGGGAGGGGTGGGAGAGAGAAAGGGTGGTGRAATATTGCAGCGGTGCCGCAGGGTATGCATKSCGGCGGGGGCGTGTCTTTACCGCTCMTTTATTCTGAATAATATTTGCGATCTGGATCCTTTGCGGCTTTTACAACAAYGGCTTTTCAAATAGCTGAATAGGGGCRTTGGAGGGATTGATTGCTGCTCGGTTGTGTGAGACTGTGATTTCGGTTTCGTAAACTGAAATTTTCAATTCCGCCGATCTGGCACATGAGCAGGGGGGCTGSTTCRTGGGGGGCTGCTTCGTGCTTCAAGTGATGTGGCCGGGGCAGTTGCGTGACCTAGAAGCGACTTTAAATGTGCTTGCCACGTGGTAGGAAATGGTGCGACGGTCGGAATTTTGCCCTTATGCCGCGTGACATGTGTAATTTTGGTGGGGGGTTTGTGTCCGTATGTCCCTTCTTCGAATAACCTTCCCCCCCTATATTGTGTAAGAGAGTGTTAGTTCTCCTCCTTGTGACGTTATCCACTGATCATGAGGCTTGTGGGGGGCTATGGCCACTTCCGGATAAACATGTGAGTGACAATTCCCTGCTGCTGTCGGCATTGGCCATAATGAGTTCATCTAAAATTCCTGCTCTGATTACCCCTCCCTCTTGACGTGCTGCAAATGTTTTGGTAGGCGGACGGTGAGGGTTCGGAACAGGAATTCTGTTTCAAACCATGAGGAGCAGTTAATCCCCTCACTTAAGGGCGATTAAGGCTGCTTCTTAGATGATAGAGTGTGCTGGCGTGTTGCTTCAGGGGAGCATGTACGCATCCTTTGGGATCGACACGTGGCCAATAGGTATGACTTCGGGTTCTGAATGTGGGATCGCTATAACTGGTTCTCTATTCCGCCCCTCCCCTCGTACTGGTGTGTGACCTTCTGTACGCCATATGACGAGGGTGTCAGAATAYGAATAAGCTCTTACATCGAGGTGAGCAGTTAATCCCCTCGAAAAGAGGGCAATCAATGCTGCTTATCGTATTGAATGGTGCGTGCTTTKGTGATGCCATTACACCTGGTTAGGATGAAGGCTGTGACACGTGGCACGTTTTTGATAATTTGGATGTTTACAGGGACGCTGGACCCGATTTCCAGCAGGTGTTGCTCCCCACCAATAGATGGAGCCTTCCTGACCATGCTAGCGGTGTCTGCTTTTATCAGCGCCTCTAGCATGTGTTCGGGCTGTTTTCTGAAGAAGAAAAAAAGAAATAGAAAAAAAGAAGAAGGTGAAGGAATCTTTTATTCTGCTTATCTGTACTACCACGCAGCTGGGACTGTGTGTCCTGACTACCAAAGCACAAGACGAAGTGTTGGAGATACCTTCTGCATCAGTCCAATGCCAGCCTAATGAAGAACAAATGGTGAAAATGGCACAGTCCATGGTCTTGAAGGACATGGGCACAGTCAGTTTGTTGCAGGAACCCAAGACCGGGAGGCATATGGTAGAGGACCTAGGAGGGGAAAAAATCGTTTTGTATCTAGCATTCCTGAGCCTGGTCTCGTTGGAAGGGTCCAAGGAGCAGTGGCAACAGTTGAACACACATTGGCTGCCAATAACCCCTTTCTTTGAGCCGGACTCGGAAATACTGGAAGGGATTAGGCTGGGGCCAAATCTAAATGCACACATTATCACAAACTGGTTGAATCGGGTCCAATCACAACCTGCCCTGGGAGGTCCACTGCTGCAACAGTGGGCCCTGGACTCCTGCGATGATTCGGGTGCAAAGGACAGCGACCGAGATACCCGCATCCAAAACTCTGGCGGTCAGGACCTAGTTGATGGTCTTGCCCAACAAGATTAGAGTAATATGCTGGAACTTCAGAGGTTTGGGAGAATTGTCTAAGAAACAAAGACTTGCGGAGTGGACTCATTCAAAAGAGGTGCATATTACTTGCCTACAAGAGACAAAACTGAATGTGGAAAAGATTGAGGAAGTGAAGCGATGGTGGAAGGGGCCCCAATTTTGGGCCCCTGCAGAGGGTTCGCGGGGTGGTGTGGCTATTCTACTTAATAAAGATTTAGATATTCAAATCATTGATCATTTTATTGACCGGAAAGGGAGAGTGCTGTGGATAAAGATAGCAGTGGAGGAGGAGGACTGGGCCATTATGACAGTTTATGCCCCAGTGGAATACAAGGAAAGAACTAAGTTTTTTGCCTCCTTACCTTCCTGGATCCCGGACGTGGAGAACATTATCTTAGCCGGGGATTGGAATACTATTCTGAACCCTGGGCTAGACTCACCTAACCCGACCCCGATCAGAGAAGATATGCTGTTATTATCTGCTCTTATTGATGCCCAGGGCCTTTCTGATGTCTTCAGGGTGCTCAATCCGGAGTCTAATGGATATACATGGTTTGGCCCCTGCCCCTCTACCACTGCCCCCACACCAAAGAGAAGGTTAGATTTTTTTTTGGCAAGGGGGTCGGTATGGGACAGGTGCATGTGGTGTGATACCATGGTACATTCTATGTCTGACCACTCCCCAGTGGCCATGGATATTATTGCAAAAAATCAGCTAGAGAGTGTCAGACCCCCCTTTTGATTTAACACCAACCACCTAAAGGATAAAGGCATTCCGGAGTGGGTGGGGAAACAAATGAAGGCCTGGATGGGCGCTAAGGACTTATCTACCCAGGAGGAGACCCTGGGCTGAAGTGGGACTGGGGATAATTTCAGTAGCACTAGAAACTTTCTCCAGAATGAGAGCAGCAAACCGGAGCTGGGAAGAGAAACAGATCCAGGATGCAGTTAAAGAGGCCGAAGCCAAGATTGGGGGGGACCCACTTACGGAATATTACTGGACAGAACAGCGGAAACTGAATCTAGCTAAACTGGAACAGATAGAAGTTGGAAGACACCAGGAATGGTTGGATTGTTTGAAAGTTAGGGGTTTGGTGGGCTACGATAGGATGACCAAGCTAACTTTCAGGTCCCTGATCCTTAGACAGGCTAAGCCGGTGTTGCGAGAATTAGTTCACCCGTTTGCTTTAAATGTACCAGTGGCTAACACCCCTGGGGTCATGTGTTCTTATGCTAAAGCTTACTTTCAGGACATAGTGACCACAAGGAGGCCTTTTCACACAGCAGAAGTAGATCTTTCGCAAATATCACAGTTTTGGGATGGCCTGAGATCGAGGATCCCGCCAGATGGTAGGGACTATTTAGATGCACCATCCACTAGTCAAGAGTTGCATATGGCTGCGAAACGGATGGCCAAGGGGAAGTGCCCCGGCATGGATGGGATCCCAGTGGAAGTGTTCTTAAGTGCCTGGGATGCTTTCGCTCCATTTTTAACCCAAATCTTCAACAATGCCTTATCATCTAGTCACCTGCCCAAAAGGTGGTTGACTGGGGTGATCTCCCTTCTCTATAAGAAGGGCGACAAGCGGGAGGTAAGGAACTATAGACCTATCTCAGTACTGAATGTGGCTTACAAAATACTGGCCAAGGCACTTGCAATCAGACTTGCAAACTACCTCCCAGCCCTAGTGGGGAAGGAGCAAGGAGCGTTTGTGAAAGGGAGACTAATATTTGATAATATCATGTCTACAATCCAAGCGCTGGAACTTATTGGGAAGGAAAAAAAGGAGGTGGCAGTATTGCTGTTAGACATGGAAAAGGCCTACGATAAGGTAGGATGGGCCTTTGTCTTCACCTCCCTATCTAAATTGGGTTTTGGAAAGGGCTTCTGCATGTGGGTCAAGGCAATGCATATGGAGGCGTCTTCGGTGGTGATGGTGAACAACCATATGTCCCAAGAATTTCCGCTGACGAGATCGTTGAGACAGGGCTGCCCCCTGGCCCCACTGCTCTTTGTCACACAACTAGAAATACTTCTACATAATATTAGAATAAATGAGAGAATAGTAGGACTACATCTTCCTCCTTTCATTCATTGGAAGGGAGGGGCGTTAGCAGACGATCTTACTATCGCCTGCAAGAACACTGTGGAGAGCCTGAATGAACTGAGAAGGACTTTGGACGAGTTCAGTGAGTTGTCAGAAGCGTCCATTAACTGGGAGAAGTCCGTGTTTTTCCTGCCTCAACAGTTTACAATTGCAGTAAATTGGGGTTTGCGCCAGATTTCCGCGAACACTTCTGACCGATTTTTGGGGGTGCAGGTCTCATTGGCAGACTGCTCCACTACCCAAGATGCCTTATTGGTGGAGAAGGTGACTTCCAGAATTAACGGTTGGGTACGAAACCACCAACTGTTGTTATTTGGGAGAGCTCTGGTGCTCTCAACTGCAGCATTTTCAATCCTGTGGTTTCCAATGTTGATATGCCTATTGGGAGAGGATGCGTACAAAAAAATAAAACAGGCAGCAGCGAAATACCTATGGAAACCACTCTGGGTATTCTGGACCCTATGCAACAGAACATAGCACTACTGGCCAAATGGCCAATAGCTGCTATGTTTGGGGAAGCGGACAAGTGTTGGCTGTTGATGGCAGAATATATCTTAACCCAGGAATGGGCACTGACCAAAGGCGCACACGTCTGGCTCTGTTTCATGATAGGTTCGTACTGTAGCAGGAGACCTGGATCCAGAGTGTGGTGTAGCATCCTGTACGCATGGAACAAAATTCGGCCCCAGAATATTCAAGAGCCTAGGTCGAAGGGTGAGATTCTGAACCAAATTCTATTCGAAAATCAGCTTATCAAATATCAAGGCGAGCACTTTATGGCAGATGGGAGTGTAGGCTCCTTCGGTAGAGCTTGGATAGAACATGGGGTGGTCCAGATTCGGGATTTGTGGGAGGAGGAGAAGGCAGATTGGCTTCCCTTAGACAGCGTAAAGAGAAAACTGGCAAGGCTTCGTAATGTTGGTTTAAACTACGAGAAGATCTGGCAGGCCGTCCCTTCCCACTGGTCAAGGGCACTACAGAAAGACAGCGAACCAAATGCAGGAGTCTGGGTGAAGGACCCGAGACAAGAGGGCAGATTCTGGAAAATCGAAGGCCCAGACCTCCATTCAGGGATTAAAGTCCAGAAATGGAAAAGGAAGCCAGGTAGAGACACCTCTATCTTGACGCTGGAGGATGAAGAAACGGTTCCAACCTCCGTGGGGTTGGAGGAGGTAAGGGTCTATGAAGTAGGCAAAGGGAAGAACTTAGAATGCAGACTGGTGTTGGGGGCACAAGACAGAATGGTGGTAGAACCACTTCTATACGGTTGGTCCTTTAAGTACACAGGAAGCTCAGATTCCACTGGTGCATTATAGAACCAAAGTTGGAGTTCAGCTGCAAAAGGAAAAAAGGCTAAGGAAACCAGTGGATATAGCAATGAAGAGATTAGAAGACCTGCAGATATCGCCAGTAAACGAGCTGGACCTGCTCAGACTATGGAAAGCACTGAAGAAACTGCCCTCTCAAAGACAGGCTGCCCTCCAATGGCTTCAGTCCCTTCAAATTTTGCCCTCCGCCATGTGGTTGAACACGAAAGGGATGAACTTGACATCTACATGTGCGCGGTGTAACTGGGGTTGGGAATCTGCTTCCCACCTATGGCTGCTCTGTCCAATGTCGGACGGAATTTGGGAATGGTGGAAGGAGTTCTGGAAGATGACGACAGTAGATTTTAGTTGGGACGATGATTTTATGCTGTTTGGGAAACTGTGTACCAAAGAGAGTACAGCCTCTGGGCTAAACTATATGGTCCTCTGTTGCAGAGGCATTGTGATGGAATCAATCTGGTCTGCACGGAATGCGAAAGTATTTCGCAATGAGGCGGTACCAATTCAGCATAGTAGTAATCAGATTAAATATGGACTTAGGGTAACAATACAAGCAGACGGGAAAAGACAGAACTTCGTCTGGTTCTCAAGGACATGGGCTAAAACCAATTTTGCGACTATCTCAGCAGAAGGAAGGATGAGTCTTGCTCCGTGGCTGCTCTGATGCAGGGCGACTCTTGGCCACAGAGTTAGAGAATGGGCCGCTGCTTAGGCCCTTGTTGAATCTAAATAGAGTTGGGACATGGAAGCAGGCCGGGTTAGGCCAGTGGGGTTATACCCAGACTGTTCACTTTTAGTTGAATGAGCTGTAAAGGCTTTATGAGCAGAACTGGGCAGTGGTATACAGGTGGTCTGGAGGGGACAAGTGTTTTTCAGGATTGATTCAGTTCCCCAGAGCACTTCAGGAAACAGTAGGATTTCTGAGTTGATAGGAGCTAGCCTTCATCTGATAGCTCAACTTTTTTCATGTGCTTCAAAGTTTAACCTTTTTTGGAAAGTGTTTTGGAAGGGGACGCTGGACCCGGTTTCCAGCAGAGGTTTTTATGCTATAGTTGAAGCAGTTAGTTTTGGTTCTCGAGCCTGGCTCGAAAGCGAAACTGGCTGAGGCTGCCAGGATAACTCCGGGTCGAATTGTGAGGTCCCCGGCCTCGTTCCAATATTTTGTGTAATAAACGTTTATACTTTCCAAAAAAAAAAAAAAAAAAAAAAAAAAGGCCGAGAAAGGTATCCCCACCACATTTTTGCCTTTTTCACATTTCTAGAGTGGTGTGGCTGAGGCCCAATGCCTCCTGCCAGAGCTAGGACACAGAAATTGGCAACTGCCGTCTTCCCCCGAACACAACGCACCGTTATTTTGGCTGTATCTGACCGGAAATATAGCTTCTACATTCATTTTTAGGGTGCGTTATGTTCGGGGGAAGACGGTAGGACGCCCAACGTCTGCCTACTCTCCACTGTCCATCTGGCACTTCATCACTCTCCACACTTCCGCCACGATTTCTGGGCGATGGCGAGTACTACCCTCTTCCCCCGAACATACCGCACCCTTAAAATGAGTGTATACAGGCCGGCCAGATACAGCCAAAATAAGGGTGCGTTGTGCTCGGGGGAAGACGGTAGCGCAACGAGGCCCTTACCCACCACTGGGGCCTCGACTTCTTCCGCTCAAATTTATATTCCAAAATCCATAAACTTCTTCCACTCCGGGTTTGTTGTCTTGTTGTGGTCGCGGTGAGTGCAACAGGGCGTCGCCGCACGGCGCACGAAACGAAAAACGAAACGAGTGCATCTTCCGGCAGAAAATGGCCAGGTTCGTCAGTTTGCTATACATAATAACAGGTGTATTTTTCCACCTTTCGTGGGCAGATGCACTCGTTTCGTTTTCGTTTCGTGTGCCGTGCGGTGAGTGCAACAGTGTGGTTATGTGGGGGAGGCAGGGGGGCTTTCCAGTGTTCAAAGTCCAATCATGGTGAGTACACTAGAAATCGAGTTTGGAGAGTAGGGAAGCCATTGCATTACACTTTCGATTGGAATTAACACACGTCTTTTCACACAAATGGAACGTGTAATTCGTGTATTGTCAATGAACTGTCAATGAACTGTCCATGAACTGTCCATGAACTGTCCATAAATTGCCCATGAATTGTCAATTTAATGTTGATTTAATGTTGATTTAATGCCAGGGATGTCGCGCCAAAACCACAGAGCTGAGCTATAATAAGGGCATACTCACACTACCTTCCTCCCCCGAAGACAACGTACGGTCATTATAGCTGTATTTGAGGCATATTTGAGTCTCGATACAGCTATAATGACCGTATGTTGTATTCGGGAGAAAAAGGTAGCACTTTCCTAAATGTATATGAGGACTGTTATTCCGGCCAGATCTGATGAATCTGACTGCAATCACGTCCAGAGCTTAGTTGAAAACGTCCTAGTGTGCATATGCCCCCCCCCCCCCCCCCCCCCCAAGTGTTTGCAAACACTCAGGCTGAAAAAGCCTTCACATGAATCTGACCCTAATTCCTCATTTTATCTCTTTCCTGGGTGAAATGGGTTTCCTTCCCCCACAAAATGTGAAAATGGTGAATGTATCTAGCCAGGTTCTTTGTAAGGATGCACTCATTCCGCTTCTCACGCCCGGCTAATAGTAGAACAAGGCCCTAGAGATCACGACCAGTCATCATGCACAACGACGGCTGAGAGACAATCCCGATCTCGATCTGACCACCGCGGGCTGAGACATGATCCCATCTGGCCAAGGGCCCGACTGAGATAAATGTCTGATTTATAAATAATAAATAATATTGGATATTATACGAATTGCCAACTCCGAACCAGAATCCCTGCACCCTCTTTTTTTTTTTTTTTTTTTTCCTTCTTTTTTTTGGGGTCGAACTACAAAAAGTCTTGTAATATCTTATACGTAGGACTCAGATAAAGGTGGTTGTGAAAAAAAAAGAGCGGTAGTGCTATAGGAACAGGAAGGGAAGATATTTTGAATCTGATAATGAAACAGGAGAAAGAAAGCTGAGTAATTCTCTTTCTCTCTCTCTCTCTCTCTCTCTCTCTCTCTCTCTCTCTCTCTCTCTCTTCCTTTTCTTTTTTTTCTTTTTTTTTCATAAAGCTGCTTGATTGTCTCAGTAACTCTAGTTTAATCTTTTTTTCTGCGGGGTATTGTGACGTTTCCTGGGCCGAGGTCCCACTAGCAAAAAGGATAGAATCGACCTCCTGAATCTGGATGTTGTTTATGCAGAGATGCAGAAAAGCAGTTCAAATCTCCGATTTAATGCACATGTTCATAACCTCGTCCGGATTCAGGCATTCGATCCGACCCTCTTTGTTACTGGGACCACGCCCCTGGTCTATTTTGCAATACACTGACAAAAAACTTGAGAAAAAAAAAACAAGTTACACGGCCTCGCCACACAACACACCAAACGGAAAAAAAAAGAAAAGAAGAAAAGAAAAAAGAGTGAATCTTCCCCCTTTACTGTTCATAGTACAGGATGAATGATTCCAACTTCAGAGGGAAGATGCAGTCTTTTTTTTTTTTTTCCCAAGGTTCGTGTGTTGTGTGCGGTAGCCGCAACAAATGTAACAACGAGCTTCAATCATCGCTGCATATTCCCATTTCCAACCTTTTTTTTTTTGGAGGAGGGGGAGGGAGGGGGGGCAGCATTTCCCCTTTCTACGCATTTGACCAGAACCGAGAATGCAAAAGACACGAATATTCAAAAAAAGAAAAAAGAAAAAAAAAAAGAAAAAAAAAACTCAACGGCAGGTACCAGATGTGGTCGCCTCAGACTGGACAAAAGAAAAAACAAAACAGAAAAACGTTGTCGTCTCTCCCCCATGGTTCTCAACAGATCAGTGCAAAATGACGGGGCAACGGCCATCTTCTCCCTTCCCCTCACCTACTCTTGCCACGTGGCACCCGACGTCGCAAACTCCCCTTATTAACTTTCCTTTCCCTTTCCTCTTCTTTCCTTTCATTCCTCTCCCTGAAGTGCCATTACTATGATCTTCATTTGTCCCAGTTCCGCCGATTTCATCGGCACCTCTCTCCCATTGGTCCGAGTGCCCGTTTCCCGTTGGTCACAAAGTCTCCTCTCTCTTGGGACCAATCTTAGGTCCCAGTTTTCCGTCCCTAAGATTGGTCCCAAGAGATCAGTTCCTCCTCTCTCCCCCATGGTTCTCAATAGATCAGTGCATCCTCTCTCCCCCTTGGTCCCAATATATAAGGTCCTCCCTCTTTCCCGTTGGTCCCAATAGATCCGATTCGGTTCCTGCCCGCCATGGATCCCAACAGATCCGTTCCATCTCTCCCCCGTTGGTCCCAATGGAGCAGTTCCCGCCTGCCAGTTCCCCCTTCCCCTTATTGCGCGCCAAATACATCACTTCCTATTCTCTGCCGTCCATTGGTCCTAATAGATCCGTCCCCCCCTCTCTCTCACTTTGGTTTCAAACGAATCAACGTTTCTCCTCTTTCCCGTTGGTCTCCATAGATGAGTTCCTCCTCTCCCCCTTCGATCCCAATAGATCAGTTCCACCTCTCTCCCCGTTGGTCCCAATAGATCTGAGTGCCGTCGGTGCCACTCGCTGAGCAAATCAACCTGCACTAATTGGTACGATACAGAGAAAATTCGCATGGCCCCTGCGCAAGGATGACACGCATAAATCGAGCAATGGTTCAAATTAAAAAAAAAAAAAAAAAAAAAACCGCCAACTACAGATCAACGGTGATGACTACATCCTCCCCCGTTTGTCCCAATTGACGGGCCCGTTGGTCGCAGTACATCAGTCCCGGGGGTCCTAATAGATGAGGGAAACAACCTAAATTGCAAACGTTAATACCTTTGCCGCTCTTTCCCCCCCCCTCCCCCTCCCCATCCCCCTCTCGCTCAAGCCGCCGATAGCTTACCACCCTCCCTCTCCCTTCCCCCCAGATCTCCTCCTCCCCGCTTGACAGCCCATTCATGAAATGTCTCCACTGCAGCAGAGAAGGATCGCCCAGCTCACGACACAGCCCATTCATGTCGTTCCCGCTTTCAGCGACCGGAAAAACGTCATAATCATCGAACAAAAAAAAAAAAAAAAAGACAATTTCCGACGTGGCAGACCGAAGGTTGTCGCAGGTCTTTGAATGCTGTCCTGCTCAAATCGAGAAGTGGTCCAAAACAAAAAAAACATGCGTCGAATGACCGTCGTTTCATTACACAACACTCGACATGCATTTGGATGCATTCTCGACTAGGTGCATTCGGACCAGTCCAGCATTTTGTATAAATCTGGTCCAGAACGCGTCCAAATGCATGTGGAGTGTTGAGTAGCGGAACGAGACCCATTCTCGACTACGGTTTGAAACAATTTTTAATTAAAAAAAATCCCACCGATACGTGAGATTGCTAGGACGTACCCAAGAGCCTAGCTCAGTGGGGACCACACCATTGAACTGTTGAAATAAATACAGACCAGGTGCTGTGTTCGAATCCAGATGATGATGGAACTTGATTGATGAGTAAAACCAACCACTAATGAATTGCCTGATTCGGGCCGGTCAGCACAATGAGGATATCTCAAGATCGTCGCCCTTCAAAAAAAAAAAAAAAAAAAAAAAAAAAAAAAAAGAGATTACTAGGACAATCGTTCTTCCCCGGACACAACGCCACCCTGACAACGAATGTATACAAGCTATGATTCCGGTCAGGTGCAGCCGCAATGGGGATGCGTTGGGTTCGGAGGAAGACGGTAGGTAAGGAAAAAAGATGTACTTCCTACCTATCAGAAGAAAATTGGATCATCCCTATAAATATATAAATATTTATATATATAAAAGCCCCCTAATCCATCTTCCATCAACCAAGCTGCTGCATCGCTCTCCCGCCTGCAAAGCTCCTCCCACGAATCGAATACTGTGTAGACACCTCACCTCATAATACCTTCCACGAACGTTCCGCGAATCTTCGCTGCCTACCACGGGAAGCTTCGATGAAGCTACTACTCAATACCTACCACGAGTATTCGGCAAATGGGTCTTCCCTAATACAGTTCTTCATCGTGACATGCAGATCTTTACGCGCCGACTGCAGAGCTCTTAACCCCTCCCAAGTCAGATAGCTGCAATACTGCAGAAACAAGGACCGCAAGCTCTGCATGTCCTTGCCAATCAGATCCAGAACGGCATCCGTTACGCAAGCATGCCTTAGCCCCAGGGTTTCCAAATTAGGCAAGTGTTCAATCATGAATCTTAGATCATCAATGTCCATCTCAAAGAGCCAAGAACGAACCCGCGCCCTTTCTATCAACCTCCTCCGACATATCGTTGACACATCAAGATATAAAGAGACCAGGTGCGGTGAACCAGACAACAAAACCCTAACAATTTCCGATAACTCTTCACGGCCTACCTCAAGTTCCGCAAACAGATGAAGCGATCGAAGCTGGCGACAGCCGTCAACAAAAATTTTGATCGAACGGATCGACGGCCTGAATCTATTCTTAATCATTCTCGAGAAATCATCACCCTCCATTTCATCGATCTTGATCTTTTCAAGAAGCGGGCAATGCGCGCCGATGTACTGTAGCAACCCGTCGTCGCAAAACCGGAGGGAGAGACTCCTTAGCTGACCTCGGCTGCGCACAATGACGGCTCTCGTTGCTTCAGCTGAGATCTCATCATCCTTCATGTCCATCAGATCGGCTTGCCTCCAACAGACAGGATCTACGGAGGCGCATCGCCATCGCTCGCACACAATCCACGCACGAAACCTTTCCCGAATAGGAAGGAAGCTCAAGATAACGGCAAGCACGTCCGTTGGTAGACTTGACCAATCGGGTAACACCACTGGCGGCGGCGGCGGAATATCATCATCGTCAGCCTTATCCGCCACGTCAGCAGGACGGTCAGGCTTATCCACCAAATTATCACGACGATCGACGCATCTTAATTTGGACCTTGTCGTCACTGACATGGAACGTTGACGTGCATCCCTCTTCCCTTTCGCCTTGAAGTTCCCCTTTCTCACTCTCCCCTCCCTCCCTCCTTCTGTCCATTCCCATCTCTCGACCACTCTACTTAGCCCCCTCTCTCTCCCTCTCGCTATGCCACGATGTCTACCTCCCTCCCTACCTCTCTCGATTCCCATCTCTCGACCGAGTTTATCCGGCCCATCTCTCTCGCTCTCGACCCGTCTGGCTTCAGATCTCTCCATCGGCAGGGAAACTTGCCGCCGCAGATTCCTCTTCCCTTTCTCCTTCCGCTTTCCCCTCTCCTCCATCCCTACCTCTCTCCATTCCCATCTCCCCACATATTTCCTTAACACCACCCCTATCCCTCTCGCTGTTCCACCTTGTATCCATCCCTCCCTACCTCTCTTCATTCCCACCACCTCTCCACCGAACCTAACCCCCTCTCTCCCCCTCTCCACCCATCTAGCTTCAGAACTCCTCTCCATTGGCATGAAATCTTGTCGTAGACCCCTCTTCCCGTTCGCCTTGCCGTTCCCCCTCCCCTCCCTCCCTACTTCTCTCCATTCCCATCTCTCCGCCGAGTTTAACCCCCTCTCTCTCCCTCCTGCAGAATCTCTCCCTGTCGCCATGGTCCTCTCTCTCTCTCTCTCTCTCTCTCTCTCTCTCTCTCTCTCTCTCTCTCGTGCGCGCTCCCGCTCTCAGGAGCTCTACCAGCTCAATCCCTCTTCGTGGCCATGGATTCCTGCCCGACCTCCACAACACGGCTTTCTCTCTTTCTTTCCCTCCCCCTCGTTCACTTTTGAACCTTCCTTTTACCTCTCGGAGCCTACTCAGACAAACACTATTTCGCCTCATTTACCGCCACACCTGAATGTATATGACCGCAATTCCGTCCAAGAACAAGTAAGAAAAACGTGGTGTGAGAGTATGCCCTCAGTATACTTTTTTTTTTTTGGGCTCGGTTCTTCTTTCCTTCTCCTTCTATTTTTTTGGCCGGCCTTGAGATATCCCAGGTGATTCATCTGATTGCATCTAGGTTGTGCATCTGATTGCATCTAGGTTGTGCATCTGATTGCATCTGGATTCGGACTTGGCTCTTTATTTCAGAGTTTCAAACGTTCATGGTTGTAAAAAAACAAAACAAAAAATAAATAAATAAATAAATAAATAAAACTTGAGCTACGCCAGTTGCCGCGGGCGCGTTTTGAGTTTCCCGTTGGGGCAAAGCTTCTCAATCGGAACGAGGCGTGTCACAGGGATCACATATGAGAGCTTCGGCGGGGTTTTGAAAACTGATCATTTCAAGCCTGCTTGCTGAAAGGTGCCCCACATTGGTAACCCTCCAGATACGGGGAAATAACATTAGGGCCCATTAGGGCCTACCCATTGATATGGAGGGTTGAAAAGACAAGTCCCATGGGAATAAGGCAAGCTTCCGAAAAAAGAAGACGCGCATAAGGCTTGGACCCCACAGGTTTCCGCCTGGAAAAGTAGTTTTCCGTTGGAAAACGGCCGAACGATTTCGGAAACCTTGGAAAAGCTTTTTCCGGGACTCCAGTGGTGTGCTTTTCGCGGCAAAGCGGGCGCCGAAATGTCCTTTTCGGGAAAGGTACCGTGCGGTCGACCCGAAAAGGAAAGTCGGGCGGTGTCCGGGTGTCTGGGGCAGGACCAAGCAGGACCAAGGGGCGACGTGTTGGGTGGCATTGAGTGACGCGGTGCCCCCTCCGAGCGACATCCACACACGCGGTTTCGGAGTGCCTGGGATCAGGAAACCGGGTCCTTTCCGTCGGACCCTTCCCAGCACCGTTGTTGCCGTTAGCCTGCCCGCAACGGCAGCTTTTTGTATTCAAATTTTCTTGTGTTTCTCTTCGTTCCTGTCTGTCCTTCTCGCATGTCCGCGATGATGCCTGTGGGCCTTGGTCCTTTTGCACACAGGTGACGCTGACATTCTCGCGGCCAACGACGTCGACAATCCATCACACGTGCACGCACGGCATGGATACGGAAATGGACGAGTGGGATGAATCTATGTTCCTCCTGGTTTTCATCCGTTTGCAGTGGATGAACCATAGGAACGTTCTAGCGATGGCCGTCATCCAAGCGGCGTCTGCGGTTCCCGCGACGGTGCCAAGCATGTCCAATGCTCTTCTCCTGCTGGGTGGCGCGGTGATGCACGGCATGACGTTGACATCCGCGGTTGCGGCGATGGCAGGTCGGCGTATGGATGAGAGACGACGCGTTTGGGTTTTGCAACGCAGCGGCGGTGTGTGGGAGGATCTCCAACGACTTGGCAGCCGGCACAAGAAGGTGTTTCAGCGTTTCTGCAGGCTCCCCTGACCATTGTTTAACGAGGTGCTAGCTCGCATCGCTCCTCATATCCAGAGGCAGGAGACAAATTGGAGACAGCCTTTGCCGGCAGCTCATAAATTCGCTTGCGCGCTCATGCGATGGGCGACAGGAGGGTTCTATAGGCAATCGGCACACTCACTGGGTATGGGACTTGCAAGTGGCCTGCGCAGCAATGAGGATGTCGCTGATGCTCTCATCAGGGAGTATGGGCAGCTGCTTCAATTCCCGACTGGCCAAAGGCTTCAAGAGACAATTGACGCTTTCGAACGGAAAGGGTTCCCCGGTTGTGTCGGGGCAATCGATTGCACCCACATTTACATAGAGAAGCCGAGGAATAGGAGGGGAGAGTGTTATTACGATCGGACAGGCCAGTTTTCGGTGGTCGCGCAAGTGGTTTGCCACCATGAATGCCGTATCACTAGTGCATACGTTGGCAGTCCCGGATCAGTTCATGACAGTCGCGTGCTACGAGTCGCCCCTGTTTATCGACAAGCACAAGGGGGGACGGGTGTGTTCGCGACTGGGAGTGAAGTCCTGCGCGATGGACGGAGGGTGGGCAGGTACTTCCTTGGTGACACTGGTTACCCGGAGCTGCCATGGTTGATGACACCGATTGGAGGGAACAACAGGACGCCAGCGGAGCAACTTTATGACGATTGTCACACGTAAGCGAGGTCTTGCATCGAGCGCACGTTCGGCCGCTTGAAGAAGGTGTGGAGAAACTTCATGCGCCGGCATATCGCGAACATGAAAACTCTTTGTAAAGAGTTCATGGCCATTTGCATACTCCACAACATCATGGTGGAGTCGAAGGTGGACATCAATCCGGAGCTTTTGTCTGATGATAGCTCCAGTGAGGACTGTGATGATCAGACGATGGCACGCCGCAGACGGCGTGGCACACGAACACGGTCCAGCTGTCCTCCTCCACCTCCAGAGGAAGACGCTGCGTGTGCCATGGCCTTGGGGAAGGAGTTAAGGGAGAGCCTGATTGGCCATGTCGCGCACCACGCGCGTCTGCACGGAGCTCCACGAGCGAACCCGTGGCAGCGTTGATGTTCTTCAGGTGTTTCATATTTTTTTATCAATGGAAAACACGACTATTGACAGAACTTGATTGCGCACATGACTTTACTCACTCTCTCTCTCTCTCTCTCTCTCTCTCTCTCTCTCTCTCTCTCTCTCTCTCT